TATAGACGGAGGCCCTAATCGCACCCTCGGGCCCCACAGAGACGTACACGACCCGCCGATCTCCACGCCCTCCCGGCTAATCGCCACGGTCAGGAAGTACAGGCAAACGATATGACCTGCGAGGCGTGAAAGGGGAGCGCACCTGACAGCTGGCGACACAAGGGGCCTTGAGCCAAAAGCTGGGCTCTGAGCTCCAAAGTTTATCCTGTAACTGGGAAATGAAAGGGTCCTTTCAAGCACCCAATCCCTACAACAGTCCTCTGAACACCCTACAACACCTGTTTTAAAAGCCTGCAAACGAAGATGGCTACACCCCCAAACCGTGGCAAATCCAAGTTGTGTGGAAAGGCTGGCCGCGGTTTGCGCCGAGGAGCGAGGCGGCCGCCCGGGACGAGGACGTCCAGGACATGACCCACGGCAGCCCAAGGTGCCGGGAGGTCCTTGGTTGGAGTCTTCAGACTGGGGGCGGTTCGCAAAGCGATGGCAGGCTGGGGTTGCCTTTTGGGGCCTGTTTGGGGCCTTCTCGCGAGCTTACGCCGGTAATTAGTGCTCCGGCCTGCAAGACGTGCAAACACTGCACCGAGCGTGGAAACTGTGTGCCAGGCCAAGAAGATTCCGTGAACTGCCTCAAGCAGCTACGAGTTGAGAGCAGTGGGACTGCTTGGCCACATTGCTGCCGACCATGAGGGCGTGTTCTTTGTCGGAGTGCTGCCACTGACATGACTGTACATCAGTGCGAGCCGAGCTCGAGCACATCTTTACATCGAAACCTTTGGGGCTGGGCAGCCATAGGCCTATGCCCCCCACAATAAGGCTTCTTCTAAACAGCATCATTCTGGACCTGCCATTACAATTGCAGAGGTGAAAGCACAAATGGGCCAAGTGTCCTGCTTAGGCATCCTAAAGCCTAAACCCTAAACGGCTTGGAGGTCCTGGCGGAAACTCAGGGGAGGATCTCTGAGTTCGGCTTCTGTACGGGACCAGTCACATTCCCACCGGATTTTTCACCGCAAGAGGTTCCACAACAGTCATTGGGGTTCCTCAGGGTTCAACTTGAATTTTGCAAGCCAAAAAGACAGATATAACATGCAAGGTGCAAGTGTAGTTTGCTAGTTGAGCCAAGGTTCAGCTTCATGCCCCACTTCACGACATCTACGGGCACTGGGACCAAGCCGACCGTACAGGTGGAACCCGGGCTTAAGGGACCAGAGGGGCAACTCTCCAGACAATTGATGAGATCCTGGTTGCACACACCTCGAAATGAAGAGCCACAGCACATGTCGTGGCTGCGGCAGCAGCCATCTGCGCAGGAGCCGTCCGTGGGCCTTGAGAAGTCGCAGTCGCTGGCCATGAAACAAGAAGCTCCTTGCACGTCCCTGCACTCGTTGGCATCAGCTCCACCACACCAATCGGGTCCACAGTAGTTGCCGCAGACCTGCACGCCACCGACCATGTTCATGACGCTGAGATGGACTATCGCAGCATAGACCAGTTTCATGGCCGGTGGCACAGGAGGATTGAGCCCAGAGCTTGATGCTGAAAGCCTAAAAGCCTCGGAGACGAGCATAGACTGACCAGGGATCTACCTGGAGATCTGCACAACGTTTGGTTTCTCAGCTTCTGGATGAGCAAGGCAAAACCGGTCCTTCTACTAGTTGGGCCGGCCCACATGCTTTTCGGGAGCAAGCCCCGGCATCCGCTCTTGTAAAGCAGAGGAATCATGTGCATCTCTCACTTCTGAGCCCCGAACTCCGCGCAGATCCTCGCCAAAGCCGTTGTTGTTGCCTTGCCCGTAAGAGAGAGGGCGGCTGAGCAAGAACTTCCCCAAAGCTGGGCTCTGAGCTCCAAAGTTTATCCTGTAACTGGGAAATGAAAGGGTCCTTTCAAGCACCCAATCCCTACAACAGTCCTCTGAACACCCTACAACACCTGTTTTAAAAGCCTGCAAACGAAGATGGCTACACCCCCAAACCGTGGCAAATCCAAGTTGTGTGGAAAGGCTGCCCGGGGTTTGCGCCGAGGAGCGAGGCGGCCGCCCGGGACGAGGACGTCCAGGACATGACCCACGGCAGCCCAAGGTGCCGGGAGGTCCTTGGTTGGAGTCTTCAGACTGGGGGCGGTTCGCAAAGCGATGGCAGGCTGGGGTTGCCTTTTGGGGCCCTTTTGGGGCCTTCTCGCGAGCTTACGCCGGTAATTAGTGCTCCGGCCTGCAAGACGTGCAAACACTGCACCGAGCGTGGAAACTGTGTGCCAGGCCAAGAAGATTCCGTGAACTGCCTCAAGCAGCTACGAGTTGAGATCAGTGGGACTGCTTGGCCACATGCTGCCGACCATGAGGGCGTGTTCTTTGTCGGAGTGCTGCCACTGACATGACTGTACATCAGTGCGAGCCGAGCTCGAGCACATCTTTACATCGAAACCTTTGGGGCTGGGCAGCCATAGGCCTATGCCCCCTACAATAAGGCTTCTTCTAAACAGCATCATTCTGGACCTGCCATTACAATTGCAGAGGTGAAAGCACAAATGGACCAAGTGTCCTGCTCAGGCATCCGAAAGCCTAAACCCTAAACGGCTTGGAGGTCCTGGCGGAAACTCAGGGGAGGATCTCTGAGTTCGGCTTCTGTACGGGACCAGTCGCATTCCCACCGGATTTCTCACCGCAGGAGGTTCCACAACAGTCATTGGGATTCTCAGGGTTCAACTTGAAACTTGAAAGCCAAAAAGACAGATATAACATGCAAGGCGCAAGTGTAGTTTTCTAGTTGAGCCAAGGTTCAGCTTCATGCCCCACTTCACGACATCTACGGGCACTGACACCGAGCCGCGCATACAGGTGGAACCCGGGCTTAAGGGACCAGAGCGGCAGCTCTCCAGACAATTGATGACAATCTGGTTGCACACACGTCGATCTGAGGAGCCACAGCACTTGTACTAATATGTGCACATATATATATATATACATATACATATACATATATATGCATGTGTAATGTGTGGGGATTTGATCTTGATGTTGTCCCTTGCCGCTCACCCCACCGAGCTAATGAATGTGAGTGTGGTTGCCCTCAACAGACTCGATAATCTATCACCTTCACGTCCACGTTCAGACCCTTATCCCTGGCAGGCAGATTCAGAGCTCGCTTGTTTTCACCTTTGTGATCGGCGATGAATCGTCTGTGCTCGGGATGGCTCTGTTCCTCAGAAAGGTCACAGAAGACAATAAGCTATGCTAAGCTTATGGCATCGGTTTTTTGAGCCCAAGTTGCATCGGCGGCATATGAACATAAAGTGTAGCACTGTGGTACGCGAAGCGTTCCCCAGGCATCCACTTAGAGTCGAGGTACGTGAAACGTTCCCCCGCTCTTGACTTTACAAGTCACAGCTCATAGCTCTTATCGTGACACCACAGAATTGACTGGGTATCGCAGTCCGTTCGCACCCCCCATGAGTTGTGCCTCCGGCACTACTCACCCGGAAGATGGCGCGATTGGAGATACTAGGGATTGATCCGCCGCAACTTTGAAATGTTTGGAACAAGAGCCTTGCTTGCATCCCAATTAGAAATGGCGTGACACTCATCAACGTCAGTAACGATCCCCCGAAATGGCATACAGCATCCGGCGTCACCGAAGAAAGGGCATTCGCGATAAAGATCACGAACATATTGCCGAGGTCACGACCATGGCGTGATTGCAACTCACGTGTTGTCCCGGACCCACTGGTTGGACTTCCCTTTCCCTTTGCCTTTGCCCTTGGAGTCATGCTAGGAATTTGTGTTCCATCCTCTCCATCGTTGCTCTCGATCACGGGTAGAGGCTTTGGGCGCAGGTTTGGGAGCTGAACACGCTGGCTCTCTTCAGCTGCAACCGAAGCATCCATGATGGACGTTTGTCCACGAGGAAGGTATTCAGACGCTGAGATATGTTGTAGTGCAGGACGTGCAGCATTGGGATTTCGCTTCTTCTCGATCTTGCTCGATGTGAGCTTGTCGATAAACTTCGCCGGCAACTGGATGTTGTGGTCAGTGAGCACTGCAATCGTCTGTGAGGAATTGTCCTCGGTGCTTTGCATCAAGAGGACGCCCACAGGATCGACGTAGAGTCCGGTCGGAGTAGGTCGAATGAGAGAAAACTGCATATGTCCTGTGATCTTCGGGATGATTTCGCAGAGTACGTTCAAGCAACTGAAGTGCAAGATTTTCGGGTCATTCTCCCTCTTCATGTATATAGGTTTGAGGGTTGAAGACGTCTCTGCCGTATCCCATCTGAACTGATCCTCGAATCAATGAAGAAACCAATTGGTTCGTCCGGAAGCGCTTGAGGGTATAGATGCCATCCGGGTCTTCAGGCTCTTCCCTTTCGCTGGCATACCGAAGAATTTCTTCATCAGTCACCTCCTTGCTGATTTTCGTGTCGGGATCAAGCCTCCACAATTCGCCTTTCCATCCGCCGAGAACATCATATCGCTGCCCTTGTTCGAACGATTCTTGCATCTGAAACATCGGAACCGTGAGCCACCTTGATAACCCAGGCCATGAGTTGTAGATAGTTCTGCACAAGACGTAGGCCATGTAGGAGAACACACATACACACCCGAAGCTCTTCAGAGGTGTCCAGAATGATGAAATGGAGGTATATGAGGTGACTCGAGAGTCAAGTCAAGTCACTACCTCACTACCCTGGAATGCACAGCCCTTGACTGCGTCTCTTCTCGGGCTCTCAGGTGTCCATGGCCTGAAGGCTTGCAAACGTAGGACTCCACTGCTCTGCCTGATCCCATCGAAGCCTTGACCCAAGCCCTGAAGCCAGAAAAACGAGCCCACCGCCCGAATCAAAGTCGGACCCACAAAATCTGGAGAATGGAACCGACAAAGGCAACTTCTTTTGATAGCAGAGGCTCCCTGCAACAGTCTCTAGAGCTCCTGGCACAGTTCGCCGAGGAGAGACCTAGAACTTGGGGGCTCGAGCTTGCACTTGAGCACACCACTTTGCGAAGGCTGCCTCACCCATGGCTGAGGCATTCGAGGGAACTGGCCAAGACTCAACACCTCAGAGGCCACGGAGCATCCCCGCTTGTGGCAGATGCTACTCCATGGCCCCAAGATTACACTGAACACATTCGTCGATCCTCTGAACATTGAACAGATTAGATGCTGAGGTGGAGCTGCGCATCCTAGTGTTGCTGCTAAGCCGTTCAAAAGACTCCATGCTTGCTAAGGGGCAGTAGCTGCGGCGACCTTTGTCCGCGCGTACCATCTCCTCAGGTGAGCAGAACAGCCGTATGGGAACCCTACGGACGTGGCATTTCGATTAATGGCCCTCGAAACTAAAAGTTCCGAGCAAGATAGGTTCTCTTGTCGAGCAGCTGATCCCGGCTTGTAGCTCTGATGTCCGCACGAGGAAGTTTTCCTCAGCACAGGACTTGGAGACATGGCGCTTTCACGAAAGTGAGGAGTGTCCAGAGTCCGGGCGGCCGAACAGACTTCTCAAGGACAGCTCAGCACTAAGCTGCTCTTTTTTTGCCTGGGTGCGTCTTCAACAGCCTCGCAATGGTTCCATCGGATGACGGCTTGTAGGCCAGCTTCGTCCTGCTCATAGTGCCCGGTATGGGTTTGAGGCAAAGCAAAGCTCGAGCTCTGAACTTCGGGCATCATGTGGGAGTTGAGAAGATAGGGAACCCTAACGCAGAACTCTAAATCAACCGATTCTTACTCTAAGTTCCCCGAAATAGAAGGTACCTCTATTTGTTGAAACTCCCATGCGGCCAAAGGCTGGAGTAAGTCATGCCGTTCCCGATCATCTCCTCAAAATCTTCTCAGAACTCAAGCCACGAAGTCTGAAGAGCCTTCCTCCTCGCGAACCCTTGGTTCTCGCGCTTTGGAAACAGGGAAGCGCTCAAACATCATAACATCTGAGCATCAAGCAGAGGAATGCGGGACCGGGCCTGTAGGAGCGCAAAAGCTCGTACATGTAGCAAATTCGAACATCACTGCTCGTAGCCCAGTCGTAAACAGACCTCAGCTTTCCCAATGAATCTACCCTGCTACTATTGAACGAAACAGGAGCAGATCAGACGGATATTGATACCACTATCTGCGAAAGTCCCAAGCTACACGATTGCGTCTTATATACGGCCAAGCAAAAGGTTGAATTGTGTTCCAACTTCTGCAACCGAAGGCCTGCTTCGGGAACGGATTCAAGGGTGGAATGGCTAAGACGCCTACACATTGCTGGGCAGTACTGCTCCTTTGCACAATAATCGAATCCCCCCCTCCCTTGACCCCGGGGTGGGGGGGGTCCAAATCGCAAATTGCAATTCGGACCCTTCCGAACCCTGCGTTCTGAAAGGCGCATATTGCAAAAAATAATGCAGACTGGGGGTGATACCCACCCCCCCCCCCAATATTCAGGGTGCGGGGATATAATCGATTCTTACTGACTTAGGAAGCCTGTTCCATGGATGGTAGGGTTTGGCTTTTCCGGTACAAGTCTGAGTGGCTGTGCACGAGGAGGTAGAGCTGCGAGCTCTCTCCAAGAAGCTTGCATGCTTCCTGGGATAGCTCACAGTGTTGCTTCTCAACGCTTGATAATGCGAGGTGTCGAGCGGAAGGTGACATGCAATACTTTCCCACATTTCCATGTCTCTCAACGCTCGAATTCCAAAGCTGCAGCTGCGTGTCGTATCTCTTCCACGAAGGCTTTTTCGTGCACGAGCTTGACATGCACGTTGTCCTCCACTCACGGCTCTAATCACCGCCGCAGAACTCCCACATCTCCCAAACATCAGATCAGAAGCTCCGGGAACTCTAAGATCATCTACGCCGCAACCCTGTCCTGCAGGGCTGCATAAATCGCTTGGCTCACGCCATGCCGACCATTAGAGAACCTCAGCGGTCGAGGGCGCGCCTCCTTCAGCCGCACACTGAAGCCTGGGACTTGAAACTCAGAGACGCGCATGGCCACCACGGAGTTGGAAGCCGCAAACGGGTAGACGCGCCCCGTGTACGTACACTTCGGAGCCGATGTCAGCAAGAAGCGATACCTCGGGGCCGTAATAATTAGAATAGGGTTTTGGGTCAAGTAATACTGTAGTTACCATAAGGAACCACAAGATCAGTGGTAAAAGCAGCAACTGAACATCCGACTGCACATCGCGCAGCAAAAAACTGCTTCGGGCGTGTTGGTTTGGTCTCAAGCGCTGTCAACGCACCCAAGCAAGCCTTAATAGCCCTCTTCCTCGACTACCCCCAACCCCCCCTCCACACCCTAAGCACCTCTTGTACGGACACTACAGCTGCGAGGCCTGAATGGATCCAAGTGCCTCAACTGCTCCAGCCAGGACACTCGGTGTGCTTTCAGCCTCGGATCGCTGTCACATAATAATGACTATGGTATATATATATATATATATATATATATATATATATGGTCACCCCCCCTTGACAGACCATGCCTTTCAACTCAGTCGTAGTGCATGGTCTGTGATCGGGGGAGGGGGCACTCAGCTTTCAAAAACGCAATTCCAAAATTTCCAAAATTCTCTCCCCTAACTTTCCGGATTTCCAAAATTTCCAAAAGTTCCGAAATTTCCAAAATTTCCAAAAAGTCCGCCCTTATGTTTTGGAAAAATCCTGTCCACTAGGTCGGGCCGTTTTGGAAATTTTGGAAATTTCGGAAATTCTGGAAATTTAGGAAATTTTGGAAAAATTGGAAAATTTGGAAATTTTGGAAAATTTGGAAATTTTGGAATCTCTGGACCTTGGAATGGATTCTCAGGAGGGCTGATTGTGACCCATCCGATGACAGACCATGCACGACTTACTTGCAAAGGCAAGGACTGTCAATACTCATGCCCATATTTAGACGAATAACTCTCTATCTATCTGTCTATCTATATATACATATATGTATTGATACTCCTACACATAGTATTGCCATTGCTAACACTGACATTGATCATTTGTTGAATGCTCAAGCTAATACCAGCATTACTACTAATATTACAATTTTATAAAGCTTAGTACGAATATGCATAACACAAATACTTATTGCTATTAGTACTCCTACGCATATCAATAACCATATTCATATTGATAATAGTGTATATTAATACCAATACTAACACACACCTGTATGTACTAATGTACATAAACATGCATACCACTATATTAAAATACAGATCCTTTAACTTACTCATGTATTCAACTGTTAGAATTTCACGTGATCAAGAGTAATAATAATACAAACATTCTTGCGAATGTAGATCATCAATAACTTTATAGTACTAACGCTAACACTACTGCAAATACTTAACACAAAATTTATACTAACATCAATATTTACATAGCTATTGATACTCCTACGAATACGAATACGTAAACTCTTGTGCGTTAACAGTAGTGCTATCACCAACACTAATACGGACTTTGGTAATCTGCTGAATATTCAAGAATGCCACTAGTATTACCAGCATGAACACTCATATTATGGCTAATACGAGTATAAATAGTCCTAATTCTAATAATATTGACATTAATACTCCTACGAATACCAATAGTATATTCATATTGATATGAAAACTAATATCATTACTAATAGACACCTGCATATACTAATGTACATAAAATACATACCACAATCTTAAGAGACAGATATATACATCAGTGCATTCATGTATTAATGCTTTGGCATAGGCATATACCCATATACCAATGTAGCAATATACTTCTCGTTGTTGTATGAATGTACTATACGAATATGTGACTATACTCATATACGACTACTGCACTATGCAAGACTACCGACATGACAAGTTCGTATACTAATATGCCAACATACTGATATACTTATAAATGATTAGATAAAACAGTAGTATAGTACACATACTCGTATACTAATATGCTAACGTACGAATATATTGGTATGTCAATATATTAGTAAGCTAATGCAGCAATATAGTAGTGTATTCATGCACCAGTTGTACTAACATGTAAAATATACTAGTATACAAGTATGCAAATATTTTACTGTTCGAATACATTGATGTATTGATATACTAATCTGCTAAATATACGAGACTATCAATGTACAAATATATCAAAACTAACTACTTCTAATATTGATACTAGTTCTAGCACTTCTGCGAATAAGCTGCTGTTAAACCCAGCATTAAGACTGATACTGATACTGCTCGTAGCAGTGGTACTGTTTTTTGCTATCATTGACACTGGCACTCGCGCTAACGCTAACACGAACATGAGCACTAACACTATTTTATAGTTGGCAATATTCATATGTATACTTACAGCAAACAATAGTACCTATATTAATAATAATACTCACCCTAATACCGATACTACCACAAGACTATTACGTAACTCATGTGCCGCACGTCTGGTGCTATACTATGTACCTCATGTAAAGGTTTTGCTTCATAGAATATCGTCGTGCACGGTGTTCTTTAGACCCGTGGTCTGTCAACGGGGGGGGGGGTGAGCATGTATATATATATATATATATACATATGTATATCAGCAAATGGGGTTACTGTGTCCAACTCCGCGAAGTCGTCGTTTGCTGCTTGTTCTTGTGGGCAGACCATCCGTCTGAAATTTTTTGGACAAACCGACCCATCCAATCGAAAAGCACCGGCATTGATCCAGGGCACTTCTTGACTTCGCGACACAGGTCCTTGGCTGGAAGGCGCCCCGAAACAGCAGTTCCAACAACGCTGGAGGTCGACGAACGGCACAGTTTCGCCTATGTCAGGTCGAGGCACCTGTGGCTCCTTATCACCGCAGTCGAGCGTGCTCAGGGATGCATTCAGCACATCCGGGTGCCTTTGCAAGATTGCTGAACGGAGTTGAAAAGGTCTGCTGGGTCGGGATCTATATGGGCTATGGACCTCCTTCAAGCTTGTACATCTAGAAAGCACCTAAACTGGCATCTGGCAAAGTTTCTGGTGCTCTGTTCTTGATGCATCGTAACAAAGTTCGATATCCAGCTAGCACGCCTACGCAACACTGGTCGCCAGACCGCTGTATCTGGTAAAATTAGGATGTCCAGCTATCGATTCTCGAAAGAAAATGACATCAAACCTTGTAGTGTTCACAGTTCCCCGCAGTCTAAACCCCACTGTGCAAGCGCGCATGCCTCTTACTTAAATCAAACCACCTGGCTTAGATCCTACGAGGAGGCGATGGAAGGGCCGCCACTGTTTGTTGTGGACACTTGCTTGCGATGTGTTGCTTTTGCAGGCATCATAACTGCCGTTGACGTACCTGCAGCTTGAATTTCACCAGAGTGTAAAGCTTGGGTTTTGGCATCTAGAGTCTAAGGGTTTAGGGTTATGCTACACTGTGCGACTTGCTGTAGCGACTCTGAAACCCTCCTTGTTGTGTGAAGTTGCTGGAGCGAGGCCTTGGGCATCAAGATCCGAGGGCTCCTCCTTAGGCTGCCACGCATTCTGTGCGCTGGGAGGCAACCTTGAGGTGTTTTCGGTGAAAACCATGGCTCTGGTGGCAAGTTGTCGGTCAAAGCTTCAAGATTAACTTGCAGAGGTCGTCGGCGTGCAGGAGAGAATGCAGCTGCCAACTGCCAAGATGCATGCAAGAGTACAGCCAGTACAGTAGATGTGCTACAAGTAGCCGAAAGCACGGTGCACCATTTAACAGGGAGAAGATCCTGGGCTGAAAAAGGTTGGAGAAGCCCAAACAGGATGGCATCCCATGCAGCAGCACCGCACTGGCACACCCTCCCTCGGATCTAGATTGTCTAGATGCTGCCATTTTGTCTCGTCGGGAAAGCAAGAATGCTAAATAGCCCAACGAAGCAGCCGCAGCTGAGATTTGTTGCCGACCAGTTATACACAACGACACAACGACGGGGAAAGCTACCTGTTTTCGCTCAAGCTTGGGTTGGCCCACAAGAGGGCATCACAGGGACCAGGGTCTATCAGACTGATTCACGTAACTCCGACATCGACCACTTCAACACAGCCTCATCTACGAAGATCTCTGTGAAGCGTGCACAAATGCCTGGAGGGAGCTCCTCGAGGCATCCTGTCATAGCCGAACCTTCTGGAGACTTCATACAGTACCTGTGTAGCCTGCAATCTGCTGCTTGAGTACTGTGAGCTGCGCCCAACGTACTACTTTCATTGGGAAAATTGGGGATGATTGGCTGGGTATATTGGGGATGCTTGTGAAAAGTAGTGTTGGGGATGTGGATGCCATCGAGATCTGTTCTTCACTCGAACTGGGCCCGCCTTTTGCAAGCCTGAGACGTGAGGACCTTGAACTACAATGCTGGAATACTCAAGCCTGAAACCAGAAACCCGAAAGCCTCCAAGTCCTGTAAAGCGCTGGAACACTGCCAAACGTATTAAGTTGATAGCATGGAACCCAAGACCTGGACAGTGCATCCTTGGAACTATGAAGCTTGGCCTACCATGGAACCGCAGAGCATCATGCTAACCTTGCGGCTTGACGAAACCTCAATGGGCTCGATGTGCTACTATTGCATTGCATGCCCATGTAACCTCCAACCCTGACACTAAGACATGCAAACCAACCCGATCACCGACGAAGCTCACATCTGCAACACACCTCCAATTCGGGTTGACCTTGGACTTTTTGCACAGTTTTGCCACAGTCATGAGCCACGCTACCGCTAGAAACACACAACGTACCGCGTGGACCCTGAGACAAGGCCTGCGTCCACCATATCGGCAAGACCTTGCGATTCCGACAGCAACTCCGCAAGTAAGCAAGTGCCTGGGAGCTGCAGCAAAGAAATTGAATGCAGCCAAAGTGCGGGGCACAGCGCTTTGCCTTCGGCGAGCCCTGGCACTTCCAGTTCCACAGTAAGAGCCCCCCACATTTGCAAGATGGTAGGCTCAGCTGTGCACTGACTCAGTAGCACCCCACGCCTTTGGGCAGTTCCTCCACCTGCATCCAAAGACACGAATGCAAGGTCAAGCAAGAATGCGATCCCCCGACAGAGCCCTGTCTTGACCAGATATGTTGGATTGGAGCCGTGATTGGCTAAGCTGAACACGGCACTCGGAAGCCTGTGGTCTTGGCCAGAGCGGCCGAAAGGAAATCTGCAACCACTCGCACACATAGCCTCATGGAGCAGCCAATCGACCAAAAGCCACGGCGATAAATTTCCAACTGGCAGCAAAGGGAACTCCGATCGCAGCTGCAAAAAACTTTTTGCTTCTGGCGTATGCGGAAGTGGGATTGCATCTGCTTCCCATTTCACGCGTTGTTCGCAGCCATTCTGGCAAGCAGTTTCCCTGAAGAGTTCTCATGAACGAAAGCTAGGAACATGGCTGCTTAGCGGAAAAGGCTGCTTCGGTTCACGGCTTGAGCATCTCTATTCTTCAGTTGTGCGTGGCAAACTTTCAACATGTTCGCCAATCCAGATCTTACTTCTGCCGGTAGAGGCCTAGATGGCCAACAGTCTTCAGCTGCTGGGGTGGCAGGTGGAGCCTTGACATCCGCAGTTAGTGAGGTCCCAGCCTTCTCAGAAGCACGTGGTCGTTCAGCTCAGTGGGATGGTACAGTTCAGTCATGCGAAAGGGAAAGATCGCAGTACACTGCGGCAGGTCGTTTGCGCCAGCCCGTTCCCATTCCACAGGATCCTAGCGTTTCAGCATCCATGACGCAATTGCTTTTGGAGCAAAACCGTTTGCTCGTGCAACAGCTTCAAGCTCTTCAATCACAGACGAGTCAAAGCCATACATCGACATCATCCGGGGAGACTCCACATTCTTCCAGACTATTCCAAGAGCCGAAGGATTTGCTCGTTGGTGTAGATCCTGCACTGAGAGGTGTCTTTGAAAGCTTTGCCAAAGACACGAAGCACACATTCGCAGCTTGGGAAACACAGCGAAGTCTTCATGATAAGTATTCCAAGTTGGTTGATGAAAACAGGCTCCATGCGCATTTCCAAGCAGAGGCAACTTTCAAGTGGCAATTCGCAAAGCGCTACATTGCTCAGGCTCAGCCTTTGGCACCTGATGGGTCAGGGATTGCCATGACAGACGAGCCCTATGATTTGCTTGCCGATTGGGAAGAGATGCGTAAGAGGCATGCGCAGGAATGTTTCGCCTTCGTTCGCCTTCATCAAGAGCGCTGTTTGAAGATGTATGATGAAGAAGTTTCATGTGAAGCTCTTCAGCGCAAGCTTCGGGACAAGGTCGTCGCGTGGTTGGCTCAGTATGGTTACAACGATGCTGGGATAGCGGAAAGCATGGTTCACAAATCGAAGCAGTTCGTTGATAGTTTGGTTCGTTTGGAACGTCCAAGAGTCAAAAATCGCATTGATAAGGATAAGGAGCAGAAACAAAAACGCGAACAAGCTTTACTGGATGCCACGTGTAAATGGGAGAGTTTGGATGTGAAGGATGTGCTTTCCCCTGCTCTGCTGGAGTTAGCAAGCCGCGGTTCAGCACGCAGTAAACAAAGAAGACAGTGCTTTGGCTTTCCTCGTCAAAGACAACGCCGAGTTACAGGAGAAGCATCGCATCAAGATTACTTCCAGTGCGGTGCGTGTGCCAACTCCGAAGCACAAGCCCAAGCCTTCACCGCGGCGTGGACGTGCGACGGACAGATCTCCCTCGAGGCATCGTCCTGCTTCTATTCTCAAGGGAAGCCGTTCACCTGCCAAGTCGCGAGCCTCGTCACGTACGGAAGCATCACCTGGTAGACGAGTTACGTTTGCAGATGGTGCCAAAGGAAAAGGAAAAGGCAAGGGTAAAGGCCAGAGCAAAGGAAGAGGTAAAGGACGAGGAAGGTCAAAGAGAAAATAACATTTAGAAGCAGGGGCCGCTCCTTCTGGTCTAATGGTGACAAGTGCACTGTTGATTTCTACAAGTTCTGCGTTGTGCGGTGCTTGCGTTCCCACTTTCGCACTTTACTTTGCAGACCTCGTTTCAAAGGAGTTCACAACTTGATCCCGACACATGTTTTGGAAATACAACAGTATGTTCTTTTGCATGTTTCAAAGGGTGGCAAGTTCATCCCCACTGGTCGTCGCACTACGTCGCAAGCTTTACCATCTCATCTGCCCGTGTTTCATCGCCAGCCAGCTTCTGCTTCGCAAGGTGTTCCCAGCTGATGCAACAAAGCGCATATCTCGTTGCCGTGTTTCGTCTTCCTGGCAGCCGCCTGGAGATTGTCATATTGACGCATTTATTCGGCTTCTTCGGGATGATCTTGCTGATTTTGAGGCGTCAGATGTACGCTCCAATCTCGGTTGGATGGATCGCAAAGCGCAGATTTGGTTGAAACAGCATCGCGACACAGTATGTGTGATTGACTGTGACAAAGGCTTGGGGGAAGCCATTGTTCTTCGTTCGTGGGTGAATGAACCAGTTGCCCTTCAGCTTTCGCATGGTTATGTACAGTTGAACCCGGCTGAGCTTCACGAGAAGATGAATGGCTGCAAGCAGAGGGCTGATGTCCTTGTGCAGTTTTTTCGTTCATCGGGCGTGTTGTCGTTACATCAGGCACGCTTCCTTTTGAGTAAGTTGAATTCTGCTTCTGCCGGTTGTTTTAGAATTTTGGCGAAAGTACACAAGCACCCTGCTGCTTCGAGACCAGTTTGCAATGTTCGCTGCATGTGGTTTGGTCCTTTCAACTTATTTCTCGTTGAGCAGTTGAACCCTGTCGTGAATGCGCTGCATACAGTCGTCACTTCAACTGACAGCTTGCTTCATGAGCTTGGCGGTTTGAGTTGCAAGCCTGGCTACAGATTCGTGACGCTGGATGTGGTAAACTTATACCCATCGCATCTTTTTCAAACCATCGTCCCATGCTTGAGGCGCCACATTCCAGACCATCAGAAATGCACGTTCATTATTCGAGCGTTGGAGCTCGTTATGGATGCATGCGTGGTGTCCTTCAATGGGGAGGTCTCCGAATCACAAGATGGTGTTGCCACTGGTTTGGGCGTTGCAGGTCAAGTTGCAAACATTTACCTGTCAAGCCTCGATAACTTTTTGATGCAGTCCCATGATATTCACTTGCAGTTCTTGCGGCGGTACATTGATGATATCCTTCTTTTGTGGAGTGGTTCCGCGCTGGAATTATCTGCTATTGCAAACAGCTGGCATCCTTCATTGAAGTTCGATCTGTCAGGTGATGGATATGTCCATTTCCTTGACGTGGCCTTGCACATTGAGCAAAATAGGTCAGTTTCTTGGTCTATGTATGAGAAACCACTGAACTTGCACTTGTATGTGCCGGCCAACAGCTGTCACCCTGACAGCGTTTTTCACAGCCTGTATGAGAAACCACTGAACTTGCACTTGTATGTGCCGGCCAACAGCTGTCACCCGAACAGCGTTTTTCACAGCCTTCAAATTGGTGGGTTTTGCAGATGTCTGCGCAGGAATTCTTCTTCCGTTGATGCTAAACGAAGCTTAGCTGCTTTCAAGTTGCGTCTGCGGGATCGCGGGTTCAGTATCGTGGCTTTCGAGCGTATCGTCATGCGGTATCAAGACAGGAATGCAGCGAAACAGCGTCGCAGAAACACTATCCGCCAAGTGTTCCTGAAGGTTCCTTTCAACAAAGACATCAATGTGCGCTGGTTGCATCGGCAAACTCACAAGCATTGTGCTCTCGTACATCAAGCAGTTCCGAATATTCGCATGGGGCTGTGTTGGTCCACGGGCATGAATCTTTTCAGACGTCGCTACAAAGATGTCTGGTTGTACAGGGTAGGTTGAGGGTGGGTTTCCAAAAGTTTTTGCTTCTGTCGTATGCGGAAGTGGGATTGCATCTGCTTCCCATTTCACGCGTTGTTCGCAGCCATTCTGGCAAGCAGTTTCCCTGAAGAGTTCTCATGAACGGAAGCTAGGAACATGGCTGCTTAGCGGAAAAGGCTGCTTCGGTTCACGGCTTGAGCATCTCTATTCTTCAGTTGTGCGCAGCAAAAGGAACTCCGATCGCAGCTGCAAAAGCTGCAGCTATTTCCCACGGGCCTGAGTAAAAAACAATCTCTATGGCTCTGGACTACATGTTGTACGAGTTTGGCACCTTGCGCTCAAGGAATCTTCTGGCTAGCTGCACTAACTGCAAGATCTTGCTTGAAGTGTGCTTTCAACTCGAAAATCTTCTGTCGTGGTGAGCGGCCTGCCGCCTGAGCGTCCAGCCTATGTCCTGGCAGCATTGCATCAGCTCGCCTTCAGGCGCCCACAGCCTGCGGCAGTTGCAAGTTTGGCATTACGAAGACTCTTCTGTCTGGTGCTTAGTAGGGAATGGGGGAATGGATCATGGAGACGATTATTGAGGATGCGACGCAGCAAATCGCGACGGCCAACCAGCAGCAGTAATGACCTTCTTACGACTCATGCAACCTGCCTGTCGGCTTCAGCATCATCAACGCATGCGGCGCCTTGCACAAAGCATGAGATGGCAGGTCACTGGCCTGTTGTGTCTGAGGCACCAACACATCAAGGCATGCCCTTCCTCCAGAACGGAGCCATCTGCACCTTCGGCTGTGCTGCAGCTCAAACCAGCTCAAATCAGCAAGGACGCTTGCACACGAGCTTGCAAGAAGCAACTGTGAAGTGCACCTGTGATGGAAAACCGGCACATGGACGATTCCGCTCGAATCTGTAGCCTGGCCATCAACGTGGTGATGGACTGTGATGCTGCATCAGCTGAGAATGGCATGATGCGAAAATGCCGGGATGGCCAGCTTCTCGCTCATAGAATCCTGAGCATCTGCGGACCCTTTGGCACACATCCATAGTCCCAAAACTGCTGCAGACGCCCTCTGCAACAAGCAATCAAGCAACGTACATGAAGTCTCCTCTACCGCTGCAATCATGACGCGTTCAGGCTTCATGGGAAACCACCAGACGTACAATCTGCCGACTACACTCCGCTTACTGACACAAGCTGACGCTGGCTGCCTAGGCTCACGGCTGATGTGGTCCTCGGAAGCTTGCACCTCGAGCCACTTTTTGCACCAGCCGTCAGAGATCGACGGATGCTGCTAAGAGCGGGTCCACGGCCAGCGCTGCAACTTCGCGGAAATCGAAGTCGGCAAGTATGCACGCCACGGTTCGAAGGTGTCAGACTCCACAGGCTACCTGGCACCACGTCATACCAACTAACTCAACGCAACTCAGTTTCTGGCACAGCCTTGACCCAGTTGGCTTGGCAGGAGGACCTCTCACACGTGAAAGTGGAGCCACACATGACATCTGGGTGAGGTTGCGCCGTTCTTGCTATGACAAATCCTCATGCAACATGGACCATTTCCTGGCCAATCCGAACATTTGTGAGTTCGAAGGATTCACCCGCGGATGCCTGCAAAAGAGCTGCACCATGAGTTGATTCATGGATGTGTCTGCCTTCAAGATGTGTTGAAAAAGCTCGAGAATCCTTCATGGTGCAGATGCCTCTGAAACAAGGGATCCGACGTTTCCTGATCCAACCCCCTATCAGGTGTGCTCACAGATGGCTTCGTGCTCGCATTGCATCAGGGCGCTGTGGACCCTGGACCTGGAACCTACACTCAAGCCACTTTTTTGCCACTTTGCCTGCTGGATACCCGTTGCCAGCTTGTGAGAAGCTGACTTAAAAACCGCCAGCCTGTACAGTAGCGCTCGCGGGGTCCAGCGCTTCTCAGCTGCAGAACTCCCACGTTGGAAAGCAGGGGATTTTGGTGTTGAATTTCACCTGCATCCGCCTGCGTCTCCCGTGATCTTCCAATATTCTGATTCCATCCTCGTCGTTGCTCATAGACCAACTGCTGACCTTGGCCTCCTTTGTCTTTCCATTTTTATGCAGGCGTTCTTCAGCCTGCCTCTTGCAATCCTCCTCAAACTCGCCTCTGTACATATCGAAGATCTCTTGCTTGCTCAGGGAGCGCTTGTCGAACCACTCCTTGTTGTATTCGCGTTCGACTACCACCCACAACCCATATTGTCCAAAACATTTGGACCCTTCGTTTCGACGCCGTCTGCAATTTCCTGGAATAGGCCAATTGTTTCCAGTGCCACCACCAGCCTTGCAATTGTTGTGCTGCGTGTCGGCCTGGCAACGAAACGGGATAAGTCTAAACAAGACAATGGGTTCAACGATGTGGGTCAACAGTTAAAATCATTGACCCCCCCAAAAGAGGGCGGCTTAGAGGGCAGCTAAACCTAAATTTCACCAAGGCCACCGGGTCCATCGATATGCCATGCGATGCTGCACATTTGGGTATATCGAACAGAACGGCTACAATCGGGTAGATTGTGCACAACATGGTGTAACGGGATAACTGGGTACATAAGGTGTATGCTGGGTACAAGTTTCAGCAACTTGAGTGCTCTACACACGGATACCTGTTTTCGCTCAAGCTTGGATTGGCCCTGCCAAAAAGAGTGCGTCTCGGGGATCAGGGTCTCTGAGCCAAGTTTCCTATCACATCCTGCCATAGCCGAACCTTCTGGCGACTTCATCATACCTCATCTTCTGCGTGAGTACCGTGTGCTGCGCCCAATGCTACTACGTTCATTGGGTATATTGGGGATGATTGTTTTTTGGGCGTATGGGGCATTCTTGTGAAAAGTAGTGTTGGGAATGCCGCTGTGATCTGTTCTTCACTCGAACTGGGCCCACCTTTTGAAAGCCTGAGACGTGAGGACCTTGAACTACAATCCTGGAATACGCAAGCCTGAAGCCTCCAAGTCCTGTAAAGCACTGGAACGCTGCCAAACGTATTAAGTTGATCGCATGGAACCCAAGACCTGGACAGTGCATCCTTGGAACTATGAGAGCTTGGCCTACCATGGAACCGCAGAGCATCATGCTAACCTTGCGGCATGCAAATTCGGCGCCAAACTTCCCATGAAAGAAGCTCCCCAGGCCCTGCCTGACAGCCGGCCGTCCATGTGACTTTCCTGTCCGTGTTGCAGAAAACCTCCACAGTGCCACCGCTGTACGCATCTGTTTTCGGGCACGGATATTCTTTTGCTGCATTCACCGCGATCTCACCATGCTGGACCACTCCTCCGCCAAGGGAGAAATGTCCGGCTGCGCACGGCCTGGCCTTGCACTTTGACTCCACAACTTGTATCTGAGAGTCAGGGTTGCAAAGGAGTTTCACGGCTTGGACTTGCGGCACGTAGTACTCGTGGACAGGACAGTCAACGAACTTGGTTTCGCCACGCAGCATCACGGGATGCTGCACATTTGCTCGTCCAACGGAAGCGGATCCTGCACTACAAGGTTTGACGCACTCCGGGAGGTCAAGCATGAGCTGGCTCACGTCAACTTCGGACTGGACGTTGTCCACATCGCATTCGAAACGGGTCTGACTAATTGATTCAGCGCCGGAGGCTGAATCCCACACCGGACGAAAGCCGTCCAGGCACTTAATTTCGGTGCTTTGTCCAGCTAGAACTTGGAAGGACGCAGGTACGACGGAATCTGGAAGACTTGATAGCACACAAGGCAGCGCACAGAACTTGCCTGCCCCCACGTCCCGCTCGATGCTGCCTGAAGCGCACCCTGCCTCACATGTGGTCTGCGACATGCAAATTCCCAGTGACGGGCACCATATCTGCTCTTGGTCACAGTTTGACGCAGTGCACAGAAAGGGATTTACCAACTGGGTCGTTGGAGCCAAGGGATCATTGCATTGCGCACACTGTAGCTGGGAGGCGTTGGTTCTCGGCATGCATCGTCGTTTCTTCGGGTCGCTTACATTGCAAAAGACTGGAGCATTGGGAACGAATCGACGGCAGCTAGTCTCTGACATCTCTTGGTGCTCAAGCTCTCCGTGCGCAATCTGCCTCGCCATGTTGGAATCCCACACGGTCATGTTGAGTTGATTTGGATGCCTGCTCTTCTGACACGGAATTGTGCATTCGACTTCTAGCCTGCTGGCATTCCAGTGAAAACCCAAGCACCTGAAACCTTCGCCGCTGGATGAAGTAAACTCCATGACGGCTGGATGAACATTAGCTGGTGGCGGGGAACTGAGGCTCACTTTGACTTTCCATGGAATCCAATTGGGCGCACGATTCTGCACGGTCAACGCGTCCTCCGAATTGGCCTTGCAGCTCACTGCAGTTGTTTCCTTGCTTGCAGTAAGCTCCCCCTGTGCAGGCTGAATGGTTGCCTTTCGGCTTGCAATTTCCACGGCACTTGGTGGGAAAGCTGGGCTAAATGGCCCTTCGTCAACTTCATTCACAGCAGCAACTTGAAAGGTGTACAAGCCTCCTGCAGCCAACCCTGTGACCACAATCCTTGCATCTGGCGGTACATCAACTGTCCGGTGGTGGACTCGCCATGAGTTGCCGGGCGAATAGTACTCATGGCGAATAATTCGCACACGCAAGGCAAGGACGAAGCCTTCAGGCGTTTGGACTTCCAGCTCGATGTGCTGGTTGTTCGGGTCTGCCTCCATTGGGCCAGCAACCAGTTTAGTGATGCTGGGTGCTTCAGGGAGAGGCGGCAAAAGGCTTTCAGCACTGACAGCCGGACCTTGCTTGTAATGTGCCACGACTCGTGTGCAGGGATTGCTACACCAGGAAGCCCAGTCGGAGCTAGCTGAAGAATTGCATATGGGAGGGACGGAACACTTCCCTGGGCAGAATTGCTCACAGTAGGAATCGAAGTGGACAACAACTAACTTGTACTTCTCAACGCACTCCTCCGCACCTGGACCCTGCTCCTCTGGACGACCTGCTGACAAGATGGCTCGCTTGCAATTGACTTTCGCCCCATTCTGGGAGAAAATGGTATTTCGGCCAAAAGCGAGGAACTGCCGGACACTGGCCATAGCCGAGCGAGTAGATGCACCAACACTCATGCCAGAAAGAAGCAAAGCGACAACTGCGTCATAATCAGCGGACATTGTTGGTCCCATGTAATCCGAGAACCTTCGGGCTAGCGTCGCCCCACCATCCTCTTCCAAAGGCATCACCAAGCTGGACATGGAATGCAAAGCATCATACTGCTCTTCTTGATACTTTTGAACGGCCGCCTTGGTGAAATTGCTTGTGTAGTGGAAGTCAAGCGCTTCCACCACATAGTTTTGGATGGTGCTCTTTCGATGCTTGTACAATGCCCGAGAGAGGTTGGCCTTAAACTCCTCAGATCTGCGACACGGCATCGTTCCCCACACTGTTCAAAAGCAGCGGAAGAGGGCGCACGAAAAGCACTCAAAGCGCAGCTATGGCAAGCCGAGGTTCAAGTTGATGGTTCTGAAGCTGCTGCTTGAAGCTTTCAACACCCCAAGTCCAAGACTTGAACCCATGATTGTCTCGCGCCTGATCACAGGAATGGTGACAACGAGAAATCAAAAGGCGAAACTGCTTCCAACGGCGGGACACCACTTGCAGACAACTCACGTTCCTACCTTCAAACCCCTAGATACACCATCATGGAAGAGACAGGCGCTGGAGCAACGGCAGATGGAAGGGAGGGGAGCGGCTGGTCACCCCCCTGAGGAGCCGGAGGGACCTAGGGGGACAAAGGGGGACGGGTTCAGTGGACGGATGAGAGGGGGGGTATAGAAGCCCCGACGAAACCCCTTCAGTTCTGAACCCGAAAACTTTGTAAACGGTGTTGCATCTGCCAGGAAGACATGTCATGGTACTTCCCAACTTTCAACCCTGCAATGTGCTCACGAAAACCAACGAAGCTGGCCAAGCCGCACTGAGGTCATTCATGATTCGCAGTGATTCGTCGAGCTCTTCGGCAACGTTGACGGCTTTGTTGACCAGATCCTTCGTGATTTTCCTGGCGATCTTCTCCCCGGGACCTCAGGTACAAAGATGCACAAGCTGACTTAGCCATCAAAGCCTGTGTGTTGAATGCACCACTCTGGTCCTCTATGTAATGGAGCCCCGAGCTGTTTCCAAGTTCACAGCAATGGCTGCGACAATGAAGGACCGAATTCCCAGTAATTCGGTACGTACAGTTTCCCTTCGGCCAGTGCTTTGCGGTTCTCTCTTCTCGAACCACTAAGGCAAAGGCCATCCAAGAATGAGATAGGGGTGAGAACCACCTGCATAGGCACGCCCCCATCAAGCAGCGCGCTGATGTGAATTTTGGACAAATACTCCAAAGCGCCGATGTAGTCTGTAGGAATTGCCTCGATTTGACCATCACCCTGGGTCTGTCCAGGCACCACATCGCCGTGAAGGTAGATTTTTACCTCTTTGGAGCTGAAGGTTTCTTCTTCTCGGATATCCATACGCACCCTTGCTTCTGCCTCAATCATTGCAAGCTTCATCTTTCCGCCGAGGCTACCCGAGAGTACAGACTTCTCGTCTTCGTTCGAGGCGGTCTGTTCGAAAATGGCCACGGCATCTGCTCCGTAGAGAATGCTGCTCACAAAATGTGTTGCCTGTTTTGGAAGCTCCGTGAAGCGCCTGGGTTTCAACTCATCATCGAAAATGTTGAGACTTCTGCGCTTTGTGCGTACTGCCATCTTCACGGAAGTGCGCACCTTAGAAACCGAGCGGATTGAACTGATGAGACCGCACACCCTAGTGGCAAGATGGCCCGGAGGCCAGTTCCATCTGAAGTGAAGTGAAAAAGCAGGTCTTAGCTCCCACTTGGAAGGCAGCCAGGAGCACCATATGGGGGTTTCCGATAATAGGGGACCCTAGTATAATACCCTGAATAGTAGGATCCTTATTATAAGGACCCAAAAATGAGGTACCCTAATCTTCGGAAACTTCCATGTAGTTTGACAAGGTGAAATAAAGCAGCTAAGTCCCGAGCATTCAGATTGCTTTCGGCTTTGTTACTCAAATACTCCGCTGAACCCTTCACATCGAAGGTTGGAACGCCGATTCCATACTTGAAGGCAAGCTCACCGTCAATGTTGAAAAGCTCCATCTTTGACTGGATTGAATCGCTGTAGGCGAACTTGTAGTCTGCACTGCGGGCAGGGGTCTCTTCCACAAAACCTGGTTGGTGGCTTTGCCCCTTGAGAACATGAGTCAGCTAGGACTATCAGCATCTTCATCATCATCCCAAATCGGGGGAAGCAACAAAACATTTAAACAAGCCAGAAGAAACTGTCATTGCGAAGATAATGAAGAGGCCACATTGAACCGCCAATCGACTGATCTTTCACCACATCGTACAGCTCGCCAAGCCAGAAACGGCGCCCCAGATCAGGCATGGTGATGGCTTCGTTCACCCGGTTGTCTTGGCCGTCACCGGATTCACCAGATTCACCAGAGTCACCGGTGGCATATCTGGCCAACACGAAGAGAGGAAACAAGCGAAGCATGATTCAAGAATTGTGGGGCCAGCAGAAAGGCTGATGTTGAGCAACAAGCTGTCCAGGCAAGGCAAGGTTTGGTTTATCAGCACGTTTGGTAAAAGAAGGCATGGTTCTCGCAAGGCTTAGTCAAAACGCAGGTCAACAATTTTGCGCAAAGATGCAGGAGTGCTTTTTGGCAGTCAGTTGTTTCATGCTGCAACAGCTTGCCCGCAGCACTCTTTTCCGAGATCTTAAAAATCAAGTGCAATGTCTGAAGCTGTACATAGCATCACTTCGGGGAATACCCAGCCCCTCCAAAGCCACCTTCCATCCGCCCTTGCGTGCCAGCCGAACTGGCCGTGCCAGACATGCCAGCCGGCGTGCCAGATGTGCCAGCCGGACTGGGAGAGGATCTTTGTGGCATTTGAGCAGCCCCTCCAAAGCCACCTTCCATCCGCCCTTGCGTGCCAGCCGAACTGGCCGTGCCAGACATGCCAGCCGGCGTGCCAGATGTGCCAGCCGGACTGGGAGAGGATCTTTGTGGCATTTGAGCAGCCCCTCCAAAGCCACCTTCCATCCGCCCTTGCGTGCCAGCCGAACTGGCCGTGCCAGATATGCCAGCCGGACCGGGTGAGGATCTTCGTGGCATTTGAGGAAGCTTTTTCGAGGAAGACCCAGCCCCTCGAAAGCCACCTTCCATCCGACCTAGCGTGCCAGATGTGCCAGCCGGACTGGGAGAGGATCTTGGTGCCGCTTGACGAAGCGCCGTGGGAGAGGCTTCTGCAGTGCCGCGGAGCTTCTTGCGATATTGAAACAAGACAAAAATAACTGCCACGATGGCTGTGGCCACAATGGGCACCAAAATGGGGAATAGCTCCGGGATATCTGAGCCTGCCACGGTGGCTGTGGCCACAATGGGCACCACAATGGGGGTCATGGTAGTGGCGGTAGTGGTAGTGCCTTCGTCATCATTCACGAATAATAGCTCCGGGATATCTGAGAGTGCGATTGCATTCACAAGTGCAGCTTCCAGACCTTGCGTGTTGAGAATGTCTGCTAACAAACCTCCAGGCGGTGCTCCATCATATGCATCCAGAAACGTCTGCCGGAGGTCTGGCAAGCTGTTTGCACAGTCAGAGCCGCTCTCACACAAGACACCCACTCCAAAGACAGCCCTCATATTCCCATCTCCACGAACCAACAAAGGCAGAAGAACCACTGCAACTTCAATGACAGTCACGTTCAACACCTCTGCCAACGCGGATTGCACAGCCTGCCTTGGTTGAGAACTGCGCGGCGCATGAGCGGCAATCCCCCAATCATGTCTGGTATTCATCAATGTTGCGTAAGCCACACACACGTACTTCATGTCCTGCACCCACGCCCTACGCAACCGAAACCTGCAACGCCAAGCTCCTACGACCCGTGCCACAAGTTCAGCATGATAGCAAGGCTGTTTCCCAAATGCTGGCTGACTCAGCATAAAAACTGACAGACATGAAGGTAGAGAGTCTGAACGCATACAGTCGGGACAACAACTCTTGATCATCAAATCTACGGAAGGACCTGCTGGCGCTTTAAATGATCTGATGACACGGCACCATCATGCCTCTTGTTGGAACTAGAGGCAGAAGAGCCTCAGAATTACACACTTTTGAAAAGTGTTGGCCATATGCTTCGAAGCTAAGGCAAGCACGTCGACACATTGCTTATGAACGAGGAGGCGTCCGATGCCCAAAACCAAAGCTCTCCGAGGAAGATCTCTGTGACGTTGCTGAGAGAGCTTGTCAAACTGTCCATGATGCCCATCTTCTCGCTCACTTCAAATCTTGAACACGATTCAGCTTTGGGGCTTGGGGGCATTTCTGAGCATTGGGGCAAGGGCTCTGAGATGGTGATGTCATAGCTGCGAACATATTGAACTGCCAGGTCACTGACATCACTCATGCGCCGGCTGTCATGCTTGATATCCTCAGCATCTGCCAAGCAGATCTCTTGAGTCTGCAGCTGCCAGGCTTCCGAAGCATTGCAATCAGGTTTGTCTCCAAGATGGCTCCGCACAGAACACCTGTTGGTTTTGCGCCACCCCCCCACCCCCCCTCAAAAAAATGCAATGCATTTTTGTGGCATTGGGTAGAAAATGAAAAGCAGTAATGAAATCACCAACTAGACGCTCTTGGCAACTCTTCACACAAGCGGGCACAATGGAATTGCAGTATTGCGCACGATCCCACTCCCAACAAGTGCTTACACTGGGCGCCTCTTCTCTGAGCATCCCCTCAGCAAGCAAGTTTCCGCTTACAGAAACCACCTTGAGCTTCCAGATCACATCTGCTTCAATTGCCCGGCCGACTTTCTTGCATGAGATTTCACTCCGGGAAGTGGATTTCGGGGAGCAATGCATGGAGTTCAAGTCAGTCGCATCCATGGTCTCAAAGTCCACTCGATGTATATCCTCGGGCACTGCACTGGACAAGGCCACTGTCATAGGGAAACAACGCCAGCTGGGCAACCGATTCTGTTGCTCTGGCGGAAGTGACAGTACCACATGCCCGGCAGAGAAGGGGCCTGTGATGGCAACCGCTTGCGAGAAAACTCCAGTGTTGAACAAACGTCTCGGAGATGTCTCGTTTGTTGCATTACTCTCATCATCCAGCGATACCCGTGCAAAGGGGCCCCTCCCGGCTGCAGAAACTGCTGCCAGACTAAGGAAATACTGCCGTCCTGCCACCAGGCCAAGCGTGGCCGTCATCTGTCTCGTTGGCCCCTGCTGCTGAGGCTTGGCTTCAATTTCCTGGTGATATGTGGCCCCTTTGCCAGAGTCTATCCAACTGGCACGCAAAACATAGTGGTGAACTGGCTCCACGGAGCCCAGGTTTTGAACACAAGGCGTGACTGGCGCCTGCAGGGCAATGGCAATTTGCAACTCGGCGTAGTGAAGCTCGGCATGCGCAACCTGTGGCATGGAGGGAACATGCAACTCCTGACTCCTCATCAGCGCCAGTTCCTTCCCAGTGGAGCGCAGCAACAAAGTGGATGGCGAGTGACACCAAGACTCTGGCAGCTGAAGGAAAGAATCACCGGGCATGCCATCCAACGCACCTGGCATGTAATAACAATCATCCCCTTGACAGAATTGAGAGCAGTGGCGAGGCTGACAAAAATGCAAGCAGAACTCATCGAACTGAATCAAACGAAAGCTCGAAAGTCCTGGATTGCAGGAGGAATAGTTTTGGAGTGGTGAGCACTTCAGAGATGATTCTGCGCTGTGCTTCTGACGTTCCATATTCTTCGCCATTGCAGTAAGCGAGTGAAGCAACCGAGCGTTTTGTCCACTGCTCGGGTGACCAACCAAGAGGAGGACATACATCTCTGACTGCGCCGCAAGAGGCTGCGCAAAGTCAGTAATTGTAGTTGCAATTTCCAATCGCAGCTGGCGCAAAGAGACGTCAAAGACTTCTGCTGCCACAAATTCTGCATGCAGCCTCTCGCACACACTATGCATAGGCTCAAGGGCAAAGCTGCGGTTAAAACGTTGTAACGCCTCATCCAAAACGTACTCGTGACCTGTCGAGCGGAAGTCTTTCATGGCTTTCTCCACTTGATGTGAAAAGTGCTGGCGGTAGAACTGCAAATTCTGCAAGAGACACTGGGCGTTGGACTTCAAAGAGAGAAATCCTCGATGGGGAAGCTTGAGCAGATCCTGGAAACACGCCTCAGACTCATCAACCTCTTCCAGCAAAGCCAGAGCCAGGCGGGTGAAACGCGGGGGAAGCTTCGGAATCACCGCTCCTTTTGCAGAGTGCGCAGCTTCTTCCAGTCTTCGACTTTGCCAGCAGGGAAGGTTCAGCAAAGGCATCAGGGTCAAGTGTTTAGGGACGTCCTTGCCTTCCAGCTGCTGAGGAAGGGTCAGCATCCAGTGAATTGCAGAGCTGGTATTTGTTGGAACTGGCCCGCCAGGGAGGATGTCACCAAAAACTTTGACGGAAACGTCATCGAAGAAGCTAGAGCTTGTCTTGTTTTTGTTCTTGTCTCTGATGTTCTTTTCAATCTTTTTCTTGAGAATCTTCAGTTCTGCTTTGATCAAAGAGACTTCTTCGTCTCTCGAGCTCGCATTTCTAGTCTCCTTGCTGAAATAGGCGGAGACATCGTTTCCATAGATGATGTCAGTGACAACATGGGTTGCATGCGAGAAAACACGACTGTCAAATTGCATGTGGTCGCATAGGTCAATATCTCTTGCATTGACCGAGAGGCGCCTCGTTTGTATGTGATAGTTTGCTGCCACCCGTGCGGTGTATCTGCTTGCACGCTTCTCGGTCAGAAAATGCGCAGAGCCTGACACGGCTGTGAAGCCTCCGGAAATTGCAAGCGTGGCCTCCGCGGAAATGTCCTGCAAACCTGAGTTTCAAACCCTTCGTGCGTGATGCCCCTGTTAACCCCACACCTCTCACCAGTGATTCCAAGTAAGTTCAAAGCCAGCCTAATGCAAAAGTGGCTTGAATGCCGTCCGACCATGACAGATCCTAGCAAACCTTCTGCGTGTCTTTTTGGGGATCTCACCTGCTAGGTTCCTCAAGGGATCAAGAGAGCTATGGCACGTCCGTTGCAGACGAAGGCCTCTGAAAGGTTCCTTATATTCCCCCATAACTAATAACCATCACTGTTCGGGGGTGATCCAATCCTTAAACCACCAAAGGACGATGTTTAACTCCGCCAAATCGAGGAATGTAAACCGCAGTTCTATGCTGGCGCAAAGGGCTTGCAGTGCTTTCAAGACTCTCGCTGCTGGAAAATTTGAAGGCAGCATTTCTGGCGGGAGTGGCCATGACATAGCCAGAGTCCTTGAGGATCTCATCGCGCCACAACATCAAGTTCAAAGGCACATCCTCCACGGCGTTGTAGAGAGATCCCAAGTTCATGTGTCTGCCCAAGTCCGAAAGGGTCAGTACATCCCCCGCCATGGCTAAGGTGAGCGTAGCAATTGCGGGGAGCGCAGGCGCAAATGCACGTTCCCGCCACATCCCCAGCAGAACTGCACTGCACACAGAGACCGGGAAAATGTTGCTTGTCAAGTTTACTGGTCTTGCACGTTCCAGTTGCGACTGGATCACAAATGTCGTGTTTCTAACCCTTCTTCCCTACCATGCGTCTGAATCGTGTTCTCTGCTAGCATGTTGCGCAATCTAGTTCCTACTCATAGTGGGAACCTCAGGGTAGGCGCGGATCGAACAACCTTAATCTTGAAATGCTCATGCCACGGACCCCTTCCACATTCTGGAAGTCAATACGCTGGAAAGACAGGCTCATCAGTCGACCATGGCCCAAACACTATCACAGGAACAGTTCAGCAGTACCTCAAAATTCAATCCATCATCATCTTCAAGCTTGTTTGTTCCCTCACTTGCTTAGGCGTCGCAACACCTTTCGCAGCTCGACAATCATATCGTAAACGTTGTAAAGTAGCTGAACGAAGGTGTACTTGACTAGGATGCGTCCTTCTTTTCTGACATGGGCCGGCCCACATGCTTTTCGGGAGCAAGCCCCGGCATCCGCTCTTGTAAAGCAGAGGAATCATGTGCATCTCTCACTTCTGAGCCCCGAACTCCGCGCAGATCCTCGCCAAAGCCGTTGTTGTTGCCTTGCCCGTAAGAGAGAGGGCGGCTGAGCAAGAACTTCCCCAAGCTGGGCTCTTTTTTTTCTTTTTTTTGCACGCCTTTTTCCGCCTAGCAGTTAAGGTCGGCCGA